CTTCCAGAGACAGACTGTGAGAGGTACCTGCTCATGGCAGGTTTCATGGGCTTTTGAGGGAGCAGCTGATGGGCCTGTCTGAGGGCAGAGGTAGCTCAGATACCCAAAGGTGGCTGGCAGTTTCATGTGGACAAGGAGTCCTGGAGCTCTGGGAGCCCTGGGGCCATCTTGCGCTGGCTTAGGCATCATCTTCCCAAGCCCCCACCAGTGTCACCACTGAGCAGGAAGGGAAGGAGGAGGGACTTCACACTTCCAGGTATGTCCCGTGAATGGCCCACTGGGAGGCTGGGCCCAGCTGGACTCTAGCACAGGTTCTGCCTTGACCACTTTTTAAGCTCAGTGTCCTTATTTTTGTCATGGGGTTAGGAATTTACCTCCTTCACAGGGTTCATTCAGCAAGAACCATTTATTGAGCACCTGCTGTATGCCAGGCACTGTGCTGGGCTGGATGCTAGGGCCACCATGGAGAGTAGGTTGAATGGCCTTCCTAGCAGTGGGTTGCTGGATCTACTTGGAAAATTGGAAGGAGATGTGGCTGTCAGGGCTTAGGTATACAGTAGGCACAGCATAAATACCAGACTCTTCCTTGAGCTTACTGGTAGGTTGTAGCCCCACCCTCATCCCATCTTCATCCCAACCTCTTGGGACCCTAGAACTGAGAGGCAGCCCACCCTCCTGTTGACCTCACACCCCTCCCTCAGACTTCTATTTTAAGAACAAGTTAGGGTCAGCCACCTCTGCCAGTGGTCTCCCCATTGCCTATGGGCCCACTGGGAGCCTCCCCTTGCTGTTACCTCTTCCTCTATCCAAGAGGTGTTTCCCTGTGTTCTTAGTCTGCTCTCATGCTAGAGGCTTCCACCTTCAGCTCGGTGGTTGGTCTAGCTGACGTGACCCTGGCTGGGTGAGGGGTGGGCTTGTGATCCACTCAACCAGTGGGTTCTATTAGAGATTTGCTGGAAAAATTGAGAGGTAGGTTCTTTTTTCCTCCACCTCCTTCTTTTTTCAATAAATCACAGCTCTTTTTCTCTCTCTATATATATTGCAACATTTTCCAAATATAAAATATGTCAGTGTATCATATTCCATTCTCATAGTTTTAATGATCTCATAGATTTTATTCAAGATTCTAGCTTTGTGGGTAAGATTTGAAGCTGAGTCACTATCTCAGACCACAGGAAGAAAAGTTGGCTGAGAATGAAGTCATCAGGTGGAGGAGGTAACAATCTGGCACCATCATTTGAGCCCTGAGCAACCTTTTCCTAAAAGCTATCCCTGGGATTTTCATCCAACCATGCCATATTTTCTGACCACTCTTATGTGCTCAGAGTGGGAACAAGACAGTTCCCACCTCATAGAGGTCATAGTCCTGCCCCAGGGCCTTTCACTTGCTGTTCCCTCTGCCCTCTGCCCAGGGTGCTTTCCTCCTGATCTCCCCATGGCTCCCTCCTTTACCTCCTTCAAGCCTTAATTCACAGGCTTGCAGCTCAGTGAGGCCTCTCCCCAGACCTGTCAAAAATTGCACCCCCACATACTTCTTCTACCCTCTCCTGATTTATTTTACTCCTTAGCACTTGAAACCACTTGGTATACTCGATAGAATGTTTGTTACTTCTCTGTTTCCCCCAGTAGAATGTCACCTCCATGAGGGAAGGGATTTTCTTTTCTTTTTTTTTTTTTTAAAGATTTTATTTATTTATTTGACAGAGAGAGATCACAAGTAGACAGAGAAGCAGGCAGAGAGAGAGGGAAGCAGGCTCCCCGCTGAGCAGAGAGTCTGATGCGGGACTCGATCCCAGGACCCTGAGACCATGACCTGAGCCGAAGGCAGCGGCTTAACCCACTGAGCCACCCAGGCGTCCCGAGGGAAGGGATTTTCATTGGTGTTTGCAGCAGATCTGTAGTGACCTAGAGCAGGTGCTCAGTGTTAAATAAATAGGGAGCCCAAAAGGACTATCTGAAGAGGTAACACTGTCATTGCGGTCTGAATGTTTAAGAAGGAGCCAGCCAGTGGATGACCTCCCAGGGAAGGGCGCAGCATATGGCTGTGGTGGCAGATCAATTCTCTTTTGACTTAAACCATGCTGGATCGCTTATTTTTAAAGGGTGTCACTTTTAACCTTTAGGATCTTGAGTGGTGCTTGGCAGGATGTAGTACCGGAGAGCTGCCTCTGGAGGGCGCAAGGAAACCTCATTGCTGAGTTTGGGCCTGCACGCCGACCTTAGTACACTCTAGAAATTGGGAAACTCGGTAGTCGGTGAGGACGGCAATAATGATGCATTTGCTTTGAGACCTCTTTTAATTTTCACAGTAGCCCTATGAGATAGGTCCTGTTATCATCCCCACTTCCTACATGAGAAAAGGCCCAGAGAGCCCAGGTAGCTTGCTCAAGTCCCCTGAGGTTTAAGCAGCAGACCCAGAAAGAAAAAGATTTTAAAGTCACTGCGGTCTGGTCACCCAGGTGATACCCCAGATGGGAGGAAATTCAGAAGGGACCTGGGGGTCAGAGGGTGGAGGAGTGTCCTCCCTTTGGGGATCATTGCCCTGAGGTGTGAACCCTCTCTGACAAGCTGGAGCCTGCCCTGCCCCCCAACCCCATCCAAATGCTTGAGGTTTGCCCAGTAGTGATCTGGTGGTGCTGAGTCTGGCCTGCTTGAAAGTCAGGTGAAACTGATACAGGGCCCTGTGCTGCTCAGTTTGAGGACTGGAAGGCTTCCTGGAGGAAGCCACATTTAATCATTGACCCGGAGGAGGAGGAGGAGTCAGGCAATTGAGGAGGTGGGGGAAGTGAGTTCAGGCTGGAACACTGTGTGGGCAAAGGCCTGGAGGCGTGGACAGCAAGCCACCAATTTCTTCCGAGGCTCTTCTCATGTGTGGACCCAGCCAGGAGAAATGCACTGCGATTTTCCCAGCCCACATTTCCGTCTGTCATCCGTTGCTCTTTCCTCTGAACGTTCAAAAGACCCATAGACCTCCCTCCACTTTGGCAAAGCACACAGCCTTATCTGTAAGCCAATCTCAAACTGTCTGCCTCTGAGCACCGGCCGGGCCTCTGTAGATTTAGAGAGCAACCTCTGGGAGCACAAGGGGGTTGGAGGGGCCGCTGAACCAGTGCCTCACGGGACGAGGAGTTCCCTTATCAGGCCTGATGTCCCCAGAGATTGGAGGCGGCCCTCAGGCCCTCCACATACAGCCTGCTCACCTTCCAGGTCTTTCCGTTCTCCTGTGTCCACCAGCGGGTGGGCTGTGGGGTCAGATGGCTGGGCTTCAGTCCCCCCTGGCCATTTGGTATATGTTATTCAACCTCTCTGGGATTCTCTTCCCTTATTTGGAAAATGAATTCAGCAAGTTATATGGATTAAACTGTCAACTGCTTACAGTGTCGTCTGGCACGCAGTAAAGTGCTCAGTAAATGCTACTCTGATTACTCTAGGTGATGTGATTCTGGTACTATGATTCCTGCTCTTTTCACTCTGCTGGGGCATTCTTCTCTCCTTCCAGAAGAATTATTCAGTGTGGAAACAGATTTTTTTTTCTGCATCCTGAGTTTCATGATGCCTGTGGGGAAAGGGAAAGTTTCTAACAAAAACAGTTTGAGGGAAACCTATGTAGGGGAAAAGTATCCCAGCCTGGAACTTGGGGGGAAAAAATGATTTCTTGAGAGGACAGAAGGAGACTTTCGGAACTGGGGGACACTAGAGACTGGAGAGAGGTCCCCAGGAAAGAAGGCCTGAGGTGGAGCATGGAGGAAACATCAGGCAGGTTGTAGAGATGAGCCCACATCACCCAGGGTGACAGGACCCAGAGAAGAAAGGTTCTTGGGGTCTCAACAGTGGGTCTAGGATGGCCACACACCACCCCTGAGGCCACGCGCATGATGAGCCACTGAAGATGTCCCCATGTGTTTGAGAGAACAAGGAAGTGGTGGGGGAGCGCCCCTTGAGGCTTTGGGGCACTGGAAGGAGAGAAGACCAAGCACGGGCAGTGGCTGTGCATCAGGAAATGGGTGTGATGGGTGGCTCCTTGGTCGTCATGGGCGTAGGCCAGTATGAGGGAAAGGAGAGGAAGAGGATGAGGAGGAGGTTGTGACTAGAGCAGGAGGTGGGGATCAGCTAGGTGCAGCCTGTGAGGAATATCCGAGGTGGGGCAGGCTGGGAGCAGGTGGGCACTGGGGACACACTGTCACCGTGTCGTGATGAAATGACTGATCCATCTCAGAATCCTTCTCTGGCACCCCCTCCTCCCCACGCCGCATGCACTGGGGCTCCTCTGAATACACATGGTGCCCAGGCTGCCACCATCCCAGCCCTGATCTCCTGTTGAATTAGCTTCAACTGCCTCTAGCCTGTGACCCATGTTAGCGCAGGGACAGGGTTGTCATTGCTGGTCCAGTGCCTGGCACACAGTAGGTGCTCTGAACCTTTGGCGTATGACCCTCCTGAGCAAATTTCCCCTCTCCAGCTTCAACCTGCCTGTGGAATAAATAAATCACTCTTAGTTGGGCTGGGCAGGCCTTGGGTCCATGTCCCGTGGGAGGGAGTCTGACTGGCGGGACTCCTGTTTCCAGTGAACCTTGGGGATCAGCCTCCCATTGCTCAACCCCCACCTCCCATTCACGTCGTCGCTGCTTTCCTTCTCCCTGGCTTTCGGGATGCTGTTGGAATTGTCACTTTGCATCACCCCTGCCTGCAGCTAGCCTGGGTTTCCCCCAGCACAGAGCAGGCCCTGCTTGGCCCCGGAAATGCTCTCTGCCCTCCCTGGAACACGTGACTTTCGATTTTCCTTGAATGCAGCACTTCATGACTTTGGCGTAAACTTCAGACGCAGCCCCCTTTCCTGTCTTCACAACAAGGAAATAAGTTGAGTTTCAGAGAAACCAGCTGCTGAGAGCACACCAGGCCTTCCGGCCCTGGTCCCTGCTTAGCTTGGCCTTTGTGTGGCAGCTGGTGTGCCCAGGTGAGTGGCTGCTCTCCGGCCTTCTGCCCCTGTTCTGTCACTACAGACACACCCCGGGCGACTCAGGACAGCTGGTGGAGGGCGAAGACTCCGTGGGGTATGACCTACTTAACACTTTGCCTGGGCAAGGGAGGGAGTGATCAGCCGTAGGGCCTCAGGCTGTGGGCTTGGGCTGCAGATATACCCAAGTTAGTTTCTTGGGTCTCAATTCTTCACCTAGAACCAGCTGTTTGCTGACGTTGGGGACCAGAGACCTGTGGCCCATTTGCCTCGATATCCTCTGCACGACCCCAGGTAAGTCATCCTGGATGGAACAGCACCTGGACGCCATTTCCATGGGTAGCCTGGGTCTGGTGGTGGGGGACAGAGGTAGGAGGCCACTGGGAAGGACCGTGAAGGGCTGTAAGATTGGCACGGGTGGTGTCCAGCTGGAAAAGTGTCCAGCCACTTGCGGCCACCCTGAGGGAAGCAGATTCCCTGCCAGAGGGTCAGCTGAGTGGTTATGTCTAGGGGACACAGCGATGCCTGTTCAGTCCCCTGCTTCCTGCTGGGCCCCATCAGGGTGACACCCTTAGCTCCAGGAAGCAGAGAATCTTCCAGAGAGAGCAAACATGTGCTCGGGCCCCCACCCTCACCAGCTTTGTGAATAGGAGGGTGGCTTAACAAGGCTATGAACTTGAACAAACAAATGGAGATAATTCCTTTCACGGGGCCCAGGACAGGCTTGAGCCACTTGTAAGGGAGGTCAGGCTCAAGGGGGACCTGGAGAGGTGAAAGAGAAAACAGTCTGAGTCTTGCTCAACTGCTGTGTGTCCTTGGCAGGTTGCTTTCTGTCTCTGAGCCTCAGTTTGTTGTGCGTCTGTTAAATGCAGAGGCAAGTACTGGCACCTTGCTGGTGCCTGACTCTTGACTCTTGGGTAAGAGTTTGGGAAAAATGTCCCAGGCAGGAGAGAGTCTCTGGAGGAGGGAACAGGTGTTCCTGTGGTGAACAACTCAAGACGCGCGTCATGACTCCTGCCTCACTCAGGGTGGTGAGTGCGGCACAGTGGGTGCTTAGTAAGTTTTGCTGAGAGCTTAGGACCAGGGACTCCTGGCATGAAAAATCTTTGGATGCCACCTTGGAAGGCTTTTCTCCTTCAGTGTGGTACTTCCTTTTCCTTTTTGTGCCTGTCCTCCTGTCTCCTGCACGCAGCCCTGGCAGGGACACGGAGCCGGCAGGCAGTTTGGATGATGGTAAGCGTGTACTGTGGAGCCAGGCAGCCTTGATTCAAGTCTTGGCTCTGCCACCTACTTACTATGTGTGCTGTGTGGCCCCTAGGCAGGTTCCCTAGGCAGGTCCCCGTACCTCTGTGTATGTCAGGTCCTGGGTCCATAAATCCTTCACTCCTGGGGCTCTTGTGAGGATTAGGTGAATGGACAGAGTTGACCCCTGAGCTACAGGGGGCTTAGGGGGTGCCGAAACCCCATGCAGTTGAAAACCTGCATATAACTTTTGACTTGCCCCAAACACGTTAACTGCCAAGAGCCTCCTGTTGACCAGAAGCCTTCTGAAAACAGTCTAATACATATTTTGTATGTCATATGTGTTATATCCTGTATTCTTACAATAGAGGAATCCAGACAACACAAAATAGCATAATGAAAATTCTAAGAGAAAAGACATTCACCGTATTGGACCTGAGCCATTCGAACCCGTGTTGTTCTGGGGTCACCTGTAGATCTATAGCACCCCAAGACTGTGATTCTCAACTGTAGCCAATTTTGGCACCTCCACTACCCTCCCTACCCCCAGGGACATTTGATAATGTCTGGACCATTTTGATCAGGACTCAGGGGGTCTTGTTGGCATCTAGTAGATACAGGCCAGGAAGGACGCGAAACACAATGCACAATACACAGGAGAGCGCCCTGCTGTTCTCCCAACTCATCCTCCCACCTTTCCCACCTTTCCCACCCCCTAAAACTCTCCTCATCTCCATGTTACAGTCACAGAGCCTGACACCCAGAAAGGGAAAGCTCCTGTTGAGGTCACACATCCTTTAAAACCAAGGCGGCAGAGGTTGGGGTGGGCGGACTGCTGTCACAGAATTGTCCAGTGGATCAGTGAGCACTTAGCAAGTCTGCTGGATGCAAGGATCTGTCCCCAACCCCACAAGGGCCCAGTACACTGGGCCCTGACAGTCGAAGGAAGCTTGAAGTGCAGGGACACCTGCCAGCCTGGGGTGAGAGCTCCAAGGGATCCAGCTCAGAACAAGGGATTCCAACTCCTAAAGGACATTCTCCAGAGTGGTGAGTGCAGGCTGCTGGGTCAGAGACCTGCGTTCAAATTGGGACTGCCACTCGCAGGTCGCAGGATTTTGAACTTGACATTAACCTCTCTGAGCTTCAGCTGCTTTAGCTGAGGAATGGGGCTAACTGTTCCCATTTAATGGGAGCTGAGGTGAGGTTTAGATTAAGTGAGCCATGCTCCTGGTAAAGTCCCTGGCACATAGGATGTTGTTGTTGTTACCTGTTCAACACGTACTTATTGGGAGGAAACAGGGGCTCCCATAGAAAATAAGACAGCCATAGGCTCTACCTGAGGGGGGAGCTCAGCCTGGTCATGGACAGAGGAGCTAACAGACAGGGGTCATACATGGCCATCAGGGCTGTGATGGGGGAGGACAGGCCCTGAGAGAGGAGGTGCCTGACTCAGCCATGAGAGGTGGAAATCATGGCATACTTTCAGGAGGAGGGAATAACAGAGCATATAGCCATAGAGCATATAGCCAGGAGAAGGGTGTGGGCACCTACTATGTGCCTTGTGGTCTGGGTTAGGGAACAAGACAGAATCTCCACTCTCACGCAGGGAGCAAAGGTCTTATGTCAAAAAGTTGGTGGATAAATCATATTTTTGGTGATGAAGAATCTTAAAGCTGGGACAGGGACATCTCTATCCTGAAGAAGGAGAGGTGATTTTAGAGAGGGAGGTCAGAAAAGAACTCTTGGAGGAGGTGGTGATAGTTAAGCAGAGACTTGAATGAAGTGAGGGATTTTGAGGGAAGAGTGTCCAGGCAGAGGGAACAGACTGTGCAAACGCCCTGCGGTTGGACCATGCCTGATTTGATCAAGTGACCTGAACAAGTGACATAAGGAGGCCCATGTGGCTGGTAGGGAGTGAATGAGGACAAAGAAGGGATTCGGCAGCTTGCATAAGGATGTGGGGACTGCTGTGAAGACTTGGGCTTTACCCCTGAGTGAGGTGGAAGTCTCTTAGAGGGCTGAGAACAGCGAAGGACAGGATAACACAATGGAAGGCTAGGTGCTGTGCTTGGTGCTTGGTGAGTCTTAGCTCATGGGATCCATCATCTCCCTGTGCCAGGCACCTTTGCTTGCACTGTTTTCTAGGTGGGGTCTGGTGAGCTTAACTCACTGGCCAGGACCACAGCACTATTGCACAGTGGATTCCTGACTCTATGGTTGAAATCTGATCCCTTGGTGTCAGGAAGAAGACATGAAGGAGCCGATCGCCACCCCTGGCCCAATGCCAGCTGCTGTCATTGTGACTTAGAACGTAAGCAAGGTGGAATTTTATTGGCTGATATTGCCTGTGCTGCCTCTCCTGGTGGGCAGAGGGGGTCCCCACGATGATTCTGGACTAGAGAGCAGGAAGTGTGGCTTTAGGGGGGATTTCAGGTCTCAGGCAGAAGTCTAGGGGTCAGTGAGAGGAGGGATGGGCAGAGAGGGGCTGGGCCCCCATTCCAGCATTGCCTTTGGTGGGGTCAGTGGCTGAGGACTAAGCCTCTAGGCCTGGCTGGTGCAACTCCCTCCCCCTCCCACCAAGTCCAGTTGGATAGGCTCATTCCCTCTGCAGCCTGACTGCCTCAGTCTCCCCTCTGGGCTCTGACAGTGGACATCTAGTTGGGGCTTTGGATGCTCAGAGTATGTTCTGTGGAATAGTAGATCCTTGAGGCTCTGCTACATAGAAGTGGGGATAAGACAAAGTTAAAATCGTCCTTCCATGCAGGTCTTCTCAGAGCTTTTAATTCAATTTTTTTGGTAAGATTTTTATTTATTTATTTGAGAGAGCATGAGCAGGGGCAGAAGGGGTGGAGGGAGAGGGAGAAGCAGACTCCCCACTGAGCGGGGAGCCTGACATGGGCTAATCTTAGGGCCTTGAGATCACGACCTGAGCTGAAGGCAGACGCTTGATTGAGCCACTCAGGCACCCTGAGCCTTATTTTTTTTAAAAGGTTTATTTATTTATTTTAGGGGTGTGGGGGGTGAGGGTCAGAGGGAATGGGAGAGAAACACTCTCAAGCAGACCCCCTGCTGTGCACAGAGCCCCCACTCAGGGCTCCATCTCATCACCCTGAGATCAGGACCTGAGCTGGAACCAAGAGTTGGACACTTAACTGACTGAGCCACCCAGGCGCTTCTCAGAGCCTTTAGTATGCTAATATGCTTTCCACAGCTTTTGAAAATGTGTTTGACCACCTGAGCCTTTTTTCCTTTGAAGTATGTTTGGGCTATCAGGTCTCTCTGAGCCCTACCTTTACCTAAGGAGGATGCTTGAATGGTGGAATTTCAGGGAGATCCTTCTGGCAGAGGACCACAGGTTTCTTCTTTTTCTTCCCATGGCCTGGGCTGTGAAAACAAGGCTGCTGTCCCATTATCTCTCAGTGGAGCTACAAACTCTGGCAAGGCCAAATTAGGATCTCTGAACTCACAGTTCATGGGGAGGCTGGATGGGGTCAGTCCAGGCAGGAATAGGGTAGGGAAGTGTCATTGTGGGCCTGTCTCCTTGGAAAGCCGTGGAGTCATGATTCAGGATAGAAACATGTGATCTTCCCAACCACATCTAGGGCCCCATCAGGAGGCTGCACACAGGCCCAGCTCCTGTGAAAGCAAAGGGTCCATGCCTGGTCCAGCCTCTTGTCTCCCTGGCTCTTTATCTTCTACTTCCTCCTGTCTACTTCCTCTGGCCTCCCCAGCATCTCTGGGAACTGGAAAGTTAGTCACTCTGGGTTTTATCCCCCTGGCTTACTAGTGAGGACAGCCCAGAAAGGCACAGGAAGGCAAAAGCATACACAGGGCTGGCTAACCCCCGGAGCCACAGGCCGTGCAGTGTCGTGTTATTATTACCATTGTCGCTATTGGCAGTGAGACAGGGAGGCTGTGATAAAGCTCAGAATGTACAGGGAAGGCTCCTGCCTCTGGGATGCTTTGGCCTTTGGTCTGAGATGGTCAATCATGGCTTATGGCCCTGAATCGGGCCCCAAGGGCCAGTCTCTCCCCAGCCCCCCTTCTGCACTAATCCGTCTCTGGCTACCCAGGTTGCACCTGTGGCCACTGTGGGGCGGAGCTTCTCAAACTGTGTTGCCGACAATTTCCTGCCACAGCTTCCTGCCCCAGAGACCAGCTTCACTACCCCCACCCCTACCCACAGCCCCTGGACAAGCCCCCATCTTGCTGCCTGGTCCTCTGTCCTGTGTATAGGGAGCAGTGATACGAGTCTGTGAGGTAGGGATGGCTGGATGTGGGAGGATGGAGAGGAGTAGGGAAGGTGTACACAATAGAGGCCACTGCATGGATAAAAGTATGGAAGTGCATTTGAAAGAAGGAGAATAGCACAGCCCAGCTGGAACAAAGGGAAGGTTGAAGAGTTTAGTTAGATTCAATGAAGTGGGCAGGAGGGAGCCACAGTAAGTTCTTGAGCAAGGGAGGCCTCAGAGATAAGTTGCCGAAGAAGCAACTTGCAGACCCTGGGTCTCAGCTCATGGGAAACAAACTGTGGGGTTTAGCCAACCACAAACACCATGTGAGTTAGATCTGGATCTCAGGTTTTATTAATAGACATAGCAGGTGGAGATCAAAGGAGGTGATGCCAGTACAATCAGACCTCAGGAGAGAGATCTGGACCAGGCAGGTTGGCAATGGTGGCATGTTTATAGCCACAGACAGAATGTCCCAAGTAAGGGGACCAGGGCTGGGGAAAGAGACAGACCAGGAACTGTCAGAGAGGGAGGAGACACATCAGGGAGCCTGTGAAGGACTGGGAAGAGCCAAGAGACTCAAGCAGGAGGGAGGGGTCCCCAATGTCCATCACTCAAGGAACCCAGCATTGAGAAGGGCATTAGGTTCTTGCTTTGTGCCCACCAGGTGGAGATACCAGTGCTTCCTCTCTAGCCTGGAAAGCATCCTGGTGGGGGTGGAGAGCAGAATGTGAGGCTGGTGAGGGGGTGGAAGTCAAGAAAGTAGAGCCGGAGCATAAACAGCACTTTCTTTCCTATATAAGTTATTTTTAGTGTCTGGTTTGTCTATACTTTCCAGTTTCTTTCTTTCTTTTTTTTAAAAAATATTTTATTTATTCACTTGACAGGGATCACAAGTAGGCAGAGAGGCAGGCAGAGAGAGAGAGAGGAGGAAGCAGGCTCCCTGCTGAGCAGGGAGCCCGATGCGGGGCTTGATCCCAGGACCCTGGGATCATGACCCGAGCCAAAGGCAGAGGCCCCAACGCACTGAGCCACCCAGGCACCCCGATCCAGTTTCTTTAGTTAAAAAAAATTATGGTATAATTTACATACAGTAAAATTCACCCATTTTAGTGAAAACTGCGAGATTTGACACATGCCTACAGCAGAGCAACTACCATCTCCATCAAAATATTGATTATTCTCTCAAATCCCTTCATGCCCCTTCTAGTCAATCCTTTCCCCTGGCCCCCAGCCTTTGGCAACCACTGATGCATTGTTCTCCACTGATACAGTTTTCAATGGAATTATACAGTTTGTGGCCTTTTGAGTTTGGCGTCTTTCACTCAGCATGATGCCTTTAAGATTCATCCATGTGTTGTGGGTCTTAGCATTTCCTCCCATTTTAATGCTGAGTGGTATCCCATGGTCATGGTTGGGATGTACCACAGTTTATCTCTTCATCTGTGGAGATAACATTTGTTTCCAAAATCTGACAGTTGTGAACAGAGTGGCTATAAACATTTCCTGTGTAGGTTTTTCTGTGAATGCAAGTTTCCATTTCTCTAGGGTAACTACCTAGGAAACTTTTTGACTCTTCAGTGCTCTGATGGAATTGGCGATCTGCATCTCCAGGTGGGGACACAAATGTGGTCCCTGATTAATCACTTGCCTGTAACTGTTGGGACATCCAGGAACTCCCTTCAACCTGGCCTTCCCAACCCCAGTGTCAGGAGCCATCAGGTTAGAATACAGATTCTTGCTCCTCCTCTGGCTACCCCAACCCAGACATCACCTGATTCCCATTCCAGTATCTTTCTCTCAGTCCCTGTGCCTGTCATTGCCTGTCCCTGGACACCCGGAAGGAGAGGCAGCCTTTTTCAAGCCACAAAAGCCTTCTTTGCATGCCCTGCTTATATTTGCTTAATTGAGAAAGGCACTCAAGGATCCTCCCCTCAACACAACCTGTGCTTGGGTGGTCTTGCTGGGCCCACCTTAGAGAAATGTCTAGGAGTTGTATGGGGAGATAAGTTTTTTCAGTATTACATAAAAACTTACAAATATATAGCAAAATGGGGGAGAAGTAGTTGTATACCCATTAGCCACCCCATTAGAGTCAACAATTAATATTGTTATATTTACTTTATCACATACGGTTGATTATGTTATTAGCAGATTCTGTATTTAGCCTACACACAAATATTTACTTGTAACCCCCAGACACTTGAGGCATTTCATAGTCATTCATGAACACACGCAGAGAAGCAAGAAATTTGAGTTAACTGATGTGCACATTCCCATTGAGGTCAAACAAGGGGATACTCCTCTGCTTTTTGTTTTAATTCCCGTGCTGGAAACAAGTGTCCTCTATTTGGTGCCACATTATTGTGCGTTTTGTTGGCGATTTCACTGTTTAAATGGCAGTCTAGTGCTGATGTGCAGTCTTGTGTTCCTAAGTGCAAGAAGGCTGTGATGTGCCTTCCAGGAAAAGTATGTGTTAGATAATCTTATAGTTGTACTGCTGTTGGCTGAGCGTTCAATGTTAATGAATCAACAATACATATCCAAAAGTGTCTTTAAGCAGAAACAGGGCTATGTACTGATCAGTTGATGAAAATGTTGTGAGCAGGGACTTTAGACACCTAATGTTGGATTTCCTCTAGCAACATTTAGTTTTGCTAATTTGGTGTTTGCAATAACTTTATAGAATTACCCTGAATTATAAGACTTGACTGTTTCTGTCTACCTATCTGTCCATCCATCAGTTAATGTTATTTTTTGGGTGCTTTTTGAAGTAAATTACAATCATCAGTATCCACCAGACTAAATATTTCTGCATACAGATTGTTAACAGCATTCAATTTTTATGGTGGTTCTTCTCCTTTTTTTACCTTAAGGGTCCAAATACACTGCAATGAACAAATTTTAGTACATTCTGAGAAATTCAGACACCTGTATAACCTAGTGCTTATCAAGATATCAGTCATTATACTATAACCCCAGAAAGCTAAAAACAGATAATTTTAGGTTATCTGCCTTACTAGATATTTATCTAAATATCTTTAATTCCTTCTCCCCACATTGGATCGTACTTTTCAGTCATGCATTTCATTTTATTTAGTGATTGTATCAAAGTTCACACTGGAATTAAACCCTAATGTATTTAAACAATCTCTTATTGATGGATATTCAGATTAGTTTATGCTTTCTAGAAATCTGTCCATGAAGGCAGAAGGGGGCAGGGCAAAGGGGAATTTCTAAGGCCAGGGGACTTCTTGGGAAGGTCAATAGAGTAAGGTTCTTTTGAAGAACAAAGCTGGTTCTAGCTTCAGAACCTTTGTACTTGCTGTCCCTCTGCGTGATGTGCTCTCTTCCATGACTTTTGAAAAGCTAGCTCCTTCTCATCCTTCAGATCTCAGTTCAGATGCTACCTTCTCAGAGAAGGTGACCATCCCAGCGACAGTGGCCTTTTCTCGTAGTATCACTCATTTATTTCCTTTAGGACACGGACCTCAGTCTGTAATAATTTCTGTCTCTTGTTTACTGTATCCCCCACGTCCCCCAGACTGTTGTCTTCAGGAGGGCAGGATCCTATCTTATTCACTCTTATCTCCAACACCGGCCTGAAACACAGTAATTCAACATGTGTTTGGGAAATGAATGAATGGTTCCAGGTGCTGGTGTGGGGGGGGGCGGTGGGGCTGTCTGGGCGCTCCGCACAAAGTCTGAGAAGTCAGGGGAGGGTTGGGGACTCTCCGGGCTGAGCTCAGCAGGCTGGGACTCCTCTCCAAGCCGACTCTGCACGACTGGCGCGGACGCCCCTCAATGCGGCCTCTCCCACTATCTCTGGGCCCAACGCGCGCTGTTGAAGAAGGCAAGCCGAGACCCTGACGTGCCCTCTATCTCCCTCTGTACGCGCAGAGCCTGGCGAGGCACAGCGGCCGCGGCGATGCCGGACCCCGCGGCGCACCTGCCCTTCTTCTACGGCAGCATCTCGCGCGCCGAGGCCGAGGAGCACCTGAAGCTGGCGGGCATGGCCGACGGGCTCTTCCTGCTGCGCCAGTGCCTGCGCTCGCTGGGAGGCTATGTGCTGTCGCTCGTGCACGACGTGCGCTTCCACCACTTCCCCATTGAGCGCCAGCTCAACGGCACTTACGCCATCGCCGGCGGTAAGGCGCACTGTGGCCCCGCGGAGCTGTGCGAGTTCTACTCGCGCGACCCCGACGGACTGCCCTGCAACCTGCGCAAGCCGTGCAACCGGCCGTCGGGCCTCGAGCCGCAGCCCGGCGTCTTCGACTGCCTGCGCGACGCCATGGTGCGCGACTATGTGCGCCAGACTTGGAAGCTGGAGGTGAGAGCGCGGGCCCTCGGGGGCGGGGCCAGGAGGTGGGCCTGGGGAGAGCTGGCCCGGGCAGAGCTGGCCTCAAGAGCCTGGAGAGCCTTGTTGGCGGGCGGGGGCGGGGGCGGGGGCGGGGGCGGGTACTGTGGAGAGCTGTCGTCTTCGCTAGCCTGTGCTTTGCTGTGCCACGCCAGATTTGGAAGCTGGCGGGGTGGGTGGGGACGGGACCTCGGAGGAGGCTTCAGAGGGAGGGGCCTGAGCGGTGCCTTGGTGCACGTCCTTGCCAGACCAGCTTGTGGAGGCGGCGCTGGGCCGGGCCTGGGTGCCGGGCCCGAGAGGATGCTGGGGGCGCTGCCAGCGGGGGTGGTGGGTGGTGGTCTTTGACAGCCTGGAATACACGACAACCAGTGTCAGATCGTCAAGCTGGAGATGAGCTTGGGGCTGCCTGTAAGGAGGGGCCTGGGACGTGTCCTGGATGGGTGGGGGATTGGAGAGGTACCCTGGAGTTGGGGATTGGAGGGGGGAAGCTGTCCTCAACACCTTAGGTCCGCCTAGGGTGAAGGGTCTCATGGGAACGGAGGCAATTAGGAAGGTCCAGAAGATGAAAGAACCTTCCTGTGGCCGTGCACTTGGCCCCTTGGTGACACATGGTGACAGTTACAAGTCTCCATCCTTCCTTCCTTAGGGCGAGGCCCTGGAACAGGCCATCATCAGCCAGGCTCCCCAGGTGGAGAAGCTCATTGCCACAACAGCTCACGAGCGGATGCCCTGGTACCACAGCAGCCTGACCCGCGAGGAGGCAGAGCGCAAACTCTATTCCGGCTCGCAGACGGACGGCAAGTTTCTGTATGTGGGGCTTGAGGCTTGGGGATTTGGGGCGGTGAGGCTGGGGCTTGTTGGCGGAAATCCTGGAGGCTGGGGCAGACCTCAGCATGCAGATGGGCCTGTGCTAACATGAGCAAGGCGGTAGTGTGTTTCTGAGTGTGCACATGGACATTGTATGGGAAGGGATCTGCAGATCTGGGACTCCAGAGCTGGGCTGCCTGGGTGGAAATCCAGGCTCTGCTACTTCCCAGCTGGGGATATTGGGCGAGAAGCTGAACTTCTGCCTCTCCTCCATTCAACCAATATTTACTCAACATCTACTATGTGCCACGTACTATTTCAGGCACTGAGGCCATGGCAGTGAATGAAACAGACACAAATCCCTGTCCTTGTGGAGCAGGAAGACAAAAACGATAAATCAATGAAAATAGAGCATGGGTGGGAATCCAGACTCTGCTACTTACCAGTTGCTATCCTCTTCCTACCTCAACGTTGAGCTCTTTCATGTCTTAAGCTTCCATGGAAGATTCCGTGCCCCAAGGAAAATTTTGCAAACTTTCTTTAGAGTGTATGACAGTTAACTGGTCGACTGAGGTAAGAGGAATGTCAGGAGAGCCAGGGCCAACGGCTTTGACCAGCTGTGGGTCCTTGGATGTCAAGCTTGAAGTCACAGAGGAAGGGAGGGCCAGCATGAGCCACAGGAGGCTGAGACTGAGGCTGAGGGAGCTAGGATTGGGTACAGCATGGTAGGTCCAGAGATGAAAGAACTTTCCAACCTCAGCTGACACTGAGGTTCCGAAGCAGTTGGAACACTAATATTATCAGGGACAGTGTCTCACACTGAGCAATGTCAAGAGACCAGAAACAGCTACTTTGAGCCAGACCACTGGAAAACTAGGCAAGGCATGCTTTGGACAGAGGCTGTTGTAGAATCTTCTTTTGGTTCCTGTAGTCAAGAACTGCTTTCTCAGTATGGAGATAGGGGTCTAAAGGTCAAAGCTATAGGCATAAAAACTTGCATGGGACAGTGGGGAAATACCCCTGTGGGATCCTGATGCTTGTCACAAGCCAGAACAGGTCCAGTTCTGAGATGAGGGTGTAGGGTGTGATAGAAAGATGCATGCCACCCAGGCCTGGAATTAAGACCAGGGCTAGTCTTGTTCTTGACCACAGTTTAGAGCTGCTGAAGAGTGGTTGGAATTGTACCTCATGCTTTTTGCTACCAAAGCTTTCTGAATTATCGCAGAATTTGTGGTACTGGTTGAATTTGAAAAGAAACCGGACTCCTGCAAAGGGTCTATAAGAGGATATTTTTAAGTATTTCCTAACCTCTTCTGGATCACAGACCCCTGTGGGAATCTTATGGAAGCTAAACCTCTTTCTCTCTTTTTAAAGATTTTATTTATTTATTTGTGTGTGAGTGAGAGAGCACAAGCAGGGGGAGCAGCAGGCAGAGGGAGAAGCCGGCTCCCCACTGAGCAAGGAGCAAGGATGTGGGACTTCATCCCAGGACCCTGGGATCATGACCTGAGCTGAAGGCAGAGGCTTAACCCACTGAGGCACCCAGGCGCCCTTCCCAAGAGAATATTTTAAGTGGCTGTGTGTCCACCATAGATGGCCAAATACCCCTTCGTGGATGACCAAGTAGCCCCTGTGGGTGGCTGAGTGTCCCCTGTGGAAGGCCACATATTCAGCCATGGAGGCCCAGGTGTCTGCTTGAGGGTGGCTCAGTGTTCTCCCCTAGACGGCCAAGGGTTCAGCTGTGGGTGGCTGAGTATCCACTGTGAGAGTGTCCACTGTGAGAGGGCCAATATTCCCCTGTGGATGGTCACATGTTGGCTCTCGGACAACTGTGTCTCCCTGTAGACACTGCCATTTCCTCTCATTCCCCTCCCCCACCCCACTCCACCAGCCTGACCTCGGAGCCCCTAGTCCCTGCCACTTCCCCATGAGACTATCAGGAGTAGAACCTGTGGGCATGTGTGTGTGTGTGTGTGTGTATGTGTGTGTGTGTGTGTGTGTAAACTGGGACCCAGCAGGGGGTCACCACAGGAGAGGCCCAGGTGATTATAGGGGTGATATCTCCTCCTTCCCCCTGCGAGGTTGAGGCCCCGGAAGGAGCAGGGCACTTACGCACTGTCCCTGATCTATGGGAAAACTGTGTACCACTACCTCATCAGCCAGGACAAGGCGGGCAAATACTGTATTCCTGAGGGGACCAAGTTTGACACGCTCTGGCAGGTAAGCTGCCCATCTGCCTTGTGTTTGTGGGGGTTGCGTAGCGTGCTGGTGAAGAGAGGAGCCCTGGCCCTGACCCCATCCCCCACAGCTGGTGGAGTACCTGAAGCTGAAGGCAGATGGGCTCATCTACTGTCTAAAGGACGCCTGCCCCAACACCAGTGCCAGCGCAGGTGAGGGGGGTGGTGGGGGGCAGGGGGTGAGTGGGAGACCCTGTGCCCCACCCCTCACTGTCCCTTCTGCTCCCCCAGAGGCTGCTGCTCCCACACTCCCAGCCCACCCATCCACGTTCACTCACGTGAGTTGGCTGGCATCTCAGGGTTGGGTCCTGAGGGTTGGAGCTGGGTGGGTGGGCGATGGGTCCTGTTTCCAAGGTGAGACTGGGATGGAGTGTGGGATACCCCCAGCACTGCTCCTGGGAGTCTGCAGAGCATATGGGTCTCAGGGGCTAGGTGCCCCCAGCTCAGGGTCATGTGGACCCTTGCTGACCTCATGACCTTTAGGCTCACAGACGGATTGACACCAGCTCAGATGGGTACACCCCGGAACCAGGTGAGCTGACGGAGGTGGAGGGGTGCGTGTGGGGTTCATGCCAGGCCATGGTCAAGATCTGGGCTCTGGGCTGTGGCAGGGGAGGGATATGGGCCAGGCCTGACTTGTAGCAGCTGGCCTTGGTTTGCCCCATGCATATATTGTGCATGTAGACGTCCACATGGCTGCGCGTCCATCATGCCTGCCTGCATGAGTGTGTGTGGGGTGCACATGGACATGTAGGGGAGGACATCTGGGTCACAGATACACATTTGTCCAGCACCTACTATGTGCCAGTCACGCTTCACACTCATGTGTGTCTGTGCTTCTGGAATGTCTCTGACGGGCCAGATGATGTAGTCATGGCAATTATTCTCATTTTACATATGAGAAAGGAGGGCAGGGAACTGAAGGAGGTCTTGCAGCTAGGAAGTAGTGGAGCCAGGACTGAGCCTGGGCAGGCGGGCTTTCGAGCCTGTGTTCCTGAAATGCCTTGCTGCAGATGCTCATTTGACGTGTAGAAGTAAGCCTGTCCCTGTGTGTGTGCAGGGAATATACCTGGTTACCTGTGCATGCAGAGGCTCATCCTGGAGCCCTGGTAAACGTGGCTGTTGGTGCATCCCCAGACCTGGGCTGGCAGGGACATGCCGGGGAACACACACACACAGATGTGTGTACTCTAGCTGGCTTGCTAACAGTCACTCGTGCAAACAGGCCCTTGGGCCCCATCATACACAGACACATGGGTGAAAGTACCCGTGGGAGCGTCTGTGTGAGCACACAGGGGCACATGTGGTTACACGTGGACATAGACACATAGACTATGACGTAGACATAGATGCGTAGACTCTGCCTTTTAGAGTCCACTTGGACGTGGCTTCCCAGCTCACCCATAGACGGGACCAGGAGCACACGCAAGTGCACATGTACATATGAACACACGCATGTACCCGTGTGCCTGGGCGTGTTCTGGATGGGGCCTGTGCCTTGTAGGTACCAAGACTGCTGTGCCCCACCCCCCCATTCCCACGCCCTCATCCTGACTTGGGAGTGCATGCTTGTGTGTGTGTGTGTGTGTGTGTGTGTGCCCAGCACGCCTAGTGTCTGCAGAGAAAGCACAGTCAATGCCCATGGACACAAGTGTGTATGAGAGCCCATACAGTGACCCCGAGGAGCTCAAGGACAAGAAGCTCTTCCTGAAGCGGGACAACCTCCTCATGGCTGACATAGAACTTGGCTGTGGCAACTTTGGCTCAGTACGCCAGGGTGTCTACCGCATGCGCAAGTATGGCCACCCTGCTGTGGTTTGGGGAAGCACTGTCAGGGGGCGGGTAGGGCAGAGGATGGGAGTGGGGCCCCCCCAACTTAGGGGATGGAGCCAGGAGGCAACATCAGTTTGCCTGGGAATTGGGCCCTGGGCCAGGAGACCGCTAGGGGAGTACCTGGGAGGGCTCGGGGACAGCACCTGAGAGTGTGGGAGACACAGGCTGGGGACGGGGCAGAGGGTGGGGCACCGAGCTGCAGTTGCAACAGACGCCTGCCCATGCCTTCCATCGACTGCCCCCCAGATACAGGCAGCCCCTGGGGAGGGTATAATGTTGAGGTGTTTTGTTCAGTGAGGGGTCGTTCTCCACGAGGAACTTGGCAGTGAGCCATCACTAGCCGACGTCCTGGCAGCTGAGGAAGTGCGTGCCTGGGCCCTGAAGTGAGAGCCACGTGGCAAACCATAGTACCCACCACATGTGTCTGGAGAAGAGAGAGGCCGGTCGGGTGGGCAGAAGGGGCTGAGCAGGGCCCGGGCTGACTCCAGTGCCCGTCACGGCAGGAAGCAGATTGACGTGGCCATCAAGGTGCTGAAGCACAGCACGGAGAAGACAGACAAGGATGAGATGATGCGCGAGGCACAGATCATGCACCAGCTGGACAACCCCTACATCGTGCGGCTCATTGGCGTCTGCCAGGCCGAGGCCCTCATGCTGGTCATGGAGATGGCGGGTGGCGGGCCCCTGCACAAGTTCCTGCTTGGGAAGAAGTGAGCCCTGGGGTGGGCTGGGCCTCTGGAGCTGGTGGGACTCTCGCAGGCTCATTCAGCCATGAGCACACACTTGTCTCACGTGACTCCTGCCCCCTGCCCCGCCCCCCCCATACCCACAAGGCAGAGCTATTAACACCAATGTGTTCTCATGCCTCCAGCTCTCACCCGCATAGACACGATCTTTTACACTCACTGCGGCATGGGCCCATCACCTCCTGTTCCTGCTGGTGCATATGTATTTGTGGTGTGACCTGGCTCACATGCTCAGTTATTCCACAGGTGTCTACTGGGCAACACCTCTGTAATCGGGACTGTCCCCAGCCCTTGGGATTTACTGGTGAACAGAAGAGACAAAGATCTCTGTCCTGTGTTCCGGTTGGGGAAGAGAGGTTTTCAAAAAAGAATTATAATACAACAGGGGAGTACGTTGGAAAATAAGTACTATGAAAAAGACGATTGGGAGTGTCAGGGTGGGAGATGAAAGGTGAGAAGGTGAGGTATGTGTAAACTGAAGGAGGCAGCCAAGGGCAACTGTGGGGAAGAGTGGTCCCAGTGGAGGGCACAGCCAGTGCAAAGGCCCTGAGGTGTGCTTGGGCCAGGGGTCATGGAGGAATGGTGAGGAAGGCCCTGTGCCTGCAGCAGAGTGCATGAAGAGGAGAGGAGGAGCCGATGTGGGTAGGAAGGTGATGAGGGCCTTGCAGGGCCTTGTGGGCCATGGGAAGACCTTGGACTTTTTACTTGAGGTAAAAAGTCCTGGGAGGCTCTGAGCGGAGGAGTGGCCAGACCTGACTTCCATGGGGGGACAAACCATGGGGGGTGAAGGCAGAGGTGACTGTTCTGGTCCAGGCTAACTTCTGGTCCAGGCTAATGACGATGATGGCTGGGCCATGGTGGCAGAAGCAGAGGTGGAAAGAAGTAGGATTCTGGAGGGATTCTGAAGGCAGAGCTGCCAGGGAGTGCTGACAGTTTGGAAGCTGGGTGTGAGACGGAGGAGCTGATGGCAAGGCTAGTGCTTCTGGCCCAAGTAAATGAAAGGATGTAGCTGCTGGAGAAGAAGGGGGCAGTGGGGACAGCTGGCTTCGTGTGTAAGTCAGGAGCTTAGCTTTGTCTGTATGATTTCTGAGATGCCCACAAGACCCTTGAGGGCATGTACAGGATGCAGGTCAATGTGTAAGTTTGGGGATCATAGTATGTGGGAGAAATGTAAAGCCTTGAGACTAGAGGAGGACAGAGGGTTTTGTCTTTTTTGTTCACCTCCCCACGGTACCCCCAGCCCTGTGCCTGGCACACAGCAGATGTCCACCAAGCACCTACTGAACGCATGCTCAGCAGAGAAGTGGGCTTTACCCCCTTGGGAACCTGGGTTGTCCCCTCCAGCTGACCCTGACTCCCCTGTACCTCAGGGAGGACATCCCCATCAGCAATGTGGCCGAGCTGCTGCATCAGGTGTCTATGGGGATGAAATACCTGGAGGAGAAAAACTTCGTGCACCGTGACCTGGCGGCCCGCAATGTCCTGCTGGTTAACCGGCACTACGCCAAGATCAGCGACTTCGGTCTCTCCAAGGCGCTGGGTGCTGACGACAGCTACTACACCGTGAGCTCCCAGCCCTTTGGCACCCAGTGGATGAGGTTGGTGGGAGGAGGGTCCCCAAGCCCTGCCCTGGCAGCATCTCCCTGTTCTCAGGCCCGCTCAGCAGGGAAGTGGCCGCTCAAGTGGTATGCCCCCGAGTGCTTCAACTTCCGCAAGTTCTCCAGCCGCAGTGACGTCTGGAGCTATGGGGTCACCATGTGGGAAGCCTTCTCCTATGGCCAGAAGCCCTACAAGGCAGGCGTGGGCAGAGGCAGGTGGGTGGGTAGGAAGGGGGTATGAGGGCGAGGTGGCCCTCATTACTTACATCACACTTGACTCTGGCTCAAGCAGAAGATGAAAGGCCCCGAGGTCATAAGCTTCATCGAGCAGGGCAAGCGGATGGAGTGCCCGGCAGAATGTCCGCCTGAAATGTATACACTCATGAGTGACTGCTGGATCTACAAGTGAGTGCCAGTGTGGGGGAAGGGTACCTGGCTGGACTGACACCTGGGCCTGGAGTCGGAGGTCGTGATGCCCAATAATCCCAAACTCATCCCATCAAGACTCACACAGTTCACAGCCTTTCCAACACTTGCTACCTTTATTTTCTGCATCTATACTCAGTGCCTCAACACACTAATTCTAGAATGCTGGGATGGACCAACACCACAACACCCTGCCTCCTGTAGACACCTAGTGCTCCAGCATCTAAAACCTCAGTCCCCCACCAGCCAACACTCAACACATTGATCCTACAATACTCAAAAAAGTTAGTACTCTGTTACCCCAAATATGGTACTGGTGGTCAGGGCATGGGATAATAATACTCCAGTCTAATTCCTCAGTCCCCCACCATCCAACATTCAACACCTCTTTACCCTTGCAGGCCAACACTACAGCACCCAAACACTCAATACATTCAAAACCTCCACCCCTGCCTGGTGTTCAAACTCAACACTTGAGCACCCTAACTCGTAAAATCATCAGCATTTCAACTTCTCATCAGAAAATAGGCAACATGCACCCAAAAAACCTATTGTCCTACATTGAGCCATGCAATGCATGGATATTCTAACATTTGATACTTTTCCTACCCCAACATCCATTATTCCACTGGCCAACACCTAAGACATTGACACCCAAAGTCACCCAATTAAATAGACACCCTTTTTATGATAAATAATAAATGATCAGTCCATCCAACATGTGTTAACCTGGCCCCCATTGGGAAGTACTCAGTACACCAGCACCCCAATACTGTTTAAGGCTAGCATCTTTAGTAGCCTGACTCCCCACTAGCTGAACCCACTGTCAGTGCTCCAGTGTTCTGCTAGATTAGGGGCAGCGTCCTTGCACCCATATAAGCCCACACCCGGCACCAATTACACTGGCCCTTGGCACATGAGCAGTACTTCAGCATTCAATATCCCAGCACCCCTTGGTTGACGGTTGTTACCCCGACATTCAATGAATGCAAGTCTTCACCAGTTAACACCCAACAGATGGTTCCCCCAACATCCTGTATGTCGGCAGCTTTTCATTACGTGGGAGGGCAACACCCGAATTCTAGTCCTCTCGTATTCAAGACACCTCTCCATTACCCCAAACTCCACCACCCTGACAACCCCACTGATTTTCTGAGCCCCCTGTGTGTCTCCCCTCCAGCTGAAGTTGGGTTGTGGGGATGTGGTCAGTGGCCAGGATCTACCCAACCCCCCACAGGTGGGAGGACCGCCCAGACTTCCAGGCCGTGGAGCAGCGCATGCGCACCTACTATTACAGCGTGGCAAGCAAGGCTGAAGGCCCCCCAGGGTGTGGAAAAGGGCCGGAGGCTGCTTCTGTCTGAGCTGCAGCCTGCCCGGGGCCTGCAAGATGCGATGCCCCAGCTTCAGCTCCATCCAAGGTCAGCTCAGCTCGTTTCTCCAAACCAGCTGGGCTGTGGTAAGGCAGGCAGCGGAGGCCTCAGGTTCATATGGATCCAGTGGTCCCCACCTGGTCGCCTGTTCTCTCTGGCTGGAGGGAGGAGGGAAGGCCCTGGCAGGGTGGGATTGTGTAACTTGCTCCTGGGCAGCTGTCTACTGGGCAGCCCTGAGCTGAGGGTGCACTGCTTACCATAAGGGCCCTCCTTCATCTGGGCCCTGAAGGGGAAGACTCTGGAAACTCAGGTGGCAAGCCCTCAATCATTGTAATAAACTCAGCTTCTCTCTTGTTGGAGTCCCTCATCTTTTCTGGGGTGAGGGAGAGGGGACCAGGAAAGGGGCTGGGTCATTGGAATGGGGTCAGTGAGAAGTGCCTGAAAATGGCTTTTCTTGGATGGGCCCGGATGTGGTCCCCAGGGTCTGGTCTTCCCACTTCTCTGCCCCAGGACATCTTTGTAGGACTGAGGAGCCATGGCAGAGTGGGGAACCGAGGCAGGTGCAGCGCTGGGCCTCCGCTTCCCTGTCTTTGCAGATTGAATGAAGTGGGTGCTTTCCACACGCTGGTTGTGTCTTATCACCTGAAGCAGTTTTAACCATCGTTAATGCCTCCTCCCACCCCACACCCCAGTATCGGTGCATTTTAAAGTGTCTTCAGGTGATTCTATCACCCAGCACCCTATTCAGCTGCCCCACCTTCTTCCCTGGACACAGGCAGTCATGGCTGGGATCTTCCTTACCTGGTGTCCTAAGTACTGGTTCAGTCCCACTGAGATGTCCTGTCCCCAGGCTCTTGCTGCCTCAGTTTCCCCATGTGCAAAATTGGTATATGTGCTGCCAAACCAAGCACCCCCCAACATGGAAAATTGGATGTTGGAGCGCAGAACTCAAAGGCGAGTAAAATGGAGCCAGGCTCCTGCGTTTCTTTTCTGACCTTGCTCCCCTTTTCTCAGCTGTGATTGGCCCCACCTGCAATAAGACCCATATGGTCTTATTCTCCTGGCGTGGCTCCCGAGAGCCATTGGTCCAAGGGCAGCTGTGAAGCCCACTCCAAGCCAGGGAAAGGCAAAGAGATTTCCTGCAGCTTCTGGGAGGGCAAGTTTTTTTTTTTCCTTTTTGTTGGTGGAGGTTTAGAAATACCCTGGCTGTTTTGTGGAACTATGGTGGAAGGACGGGGGCTTTATCTGTTGCGGGGAGTGGGAGCGTGAGGCCCAAGTGGGTGAAGTCAGTGAGAAGACTCCAGAGCTGGGAACTTAACATTGGGATTATTAGGTACGGACTCAGCTTACTCTGATTTCACCATTTACTGTTGAGTTTTAATAATTTATATGTAAGCCTCATATTAGCATACTCTTGAATGCGCTTTGTACTCTATATGAAAATCCAGAGAACCCCCAGTTGTACCCTCAACTCCAGACACACCAAGACGCTCGGCTGTGTGCATTTGTTTGGAGAGTGAATTTGTAATGGTTTAGAATTGTCTGAGGGTCTCCAAAGTCCTGGGAGATGATATCTTCTTGCATTTAGATTCAAAATAGACAAACACTGATTGTAAAGATAAAACAAAAAAGATGCAAGCATTGTTTTTAAATTGTTTTAAAACTAACGAACAAATCAAGAAAAAAATATCACACAAATGGCGAGATTTTGTGGCTTCCTGAATTGTAGCATTTGTCGATATTTCTGTTTTATTACAATTCGCTTGTTAGTGACTGGACAATCATTTACATTATTTCATAGAATTTTCTCTAAGAATGGAAGTAAATTTTCACTGTCTGCCTTTATTTTATTGTTGCTGAAAAGAATTTTATTTTATAGGAAGGTGGTATTAAAAGTCATCCCCCTGAGTGTCGCATACACAGAACTCTACATGTGCTGGCAATAAATGTTGAATGAACCAATGAAGGATGGTGCTATTCCACATAGGTACCACAAGGTGCCGCTGTTCTCCAAGCCAAGGTTGCTCAGTTCCTCAAATCTGGTCCTAGCTTAGGTGGGTTAGTGAGGTAGAATTAATTCTTAGAATGTTCTTTCGAATGCTGACCCGGAACTGGATCTCTACCTCACTCCTCAAAGTCCCAAAACTACATAGAACTCACCTCTTTCTCCAAAAAGAGATTTCACTCCTCCTATGTAATGCCACAATCTGCCTGTTCTGGAAATGTGTATCATGGGGAGCACAGACCCAGGGAACTGCAGCTGTGATGGTGGAAGCCCACAGGGCTCTGGGGGCAGAGGGGACTCTTGATCTAGTTGAGAAGGGGTCAGTCTGGTGGGCTTCCTGTAAGAGGTAATGTGTGAGCTGAGTCTGCAGTAGGGAGAGTGAGATTTGCTGGGGAAAAAGTGAAGAAAATGTTCCAGGCATAAGGAGCAGCATGTTGAAGTGAGAGAACATGCTTTTTGGGAGAAAAGAGGGTTTTTTGGTTATTATTATTATTATTTTTTATTTTGTTATGTTAATCACCGTACAGTCCATCATTAGTTTTCGATGTAGTGTTCTATGATTCATTGTTTGTGTGTAACACCCCCATGCTCCACGCAATCCGTGCCCTCCTTAATACCCACCACCAGGTTCACACATCCCCTGACCCCCCTCCCTTCCCAAACCCTCCATTTGTTTCTCTGGAGTCCATAGTCTCTCATGGCTCATCTCCCCCTTTGATTTCTCCCCCTTCATTCCAAGAGGTTTTGAGTGACTAGAACCTTGTGTTTGAATGGGGCTGCTGAGGCCAGTAAAGGGATAACCCTGTGGGAGACAAGTGGTGCCTTTTTTTGTTTTTGTTTTTTCTAGTGGCTTGCTGAGAAGCAATTCATACTATTTCCTCCACCCCCATCCCCAGCCCCTCCTTCCTAGCATAGGGTTTTAGTATTTTGTTTTGTTTTTTAAGTTTTTTAAATTTGAGTATAGTTGACACACATGTTACATTAGTTTCAGGTGATTGGACAAATTTATACATTTCAAAGCTCTGTTCCTCATGAGTGCAGGTACAACCTGTCACCATACAACACTATTACAGTATCACTGCCTATATTCCTTATGCTGCAACTTTTATTCCTGTGACTTACTCATTCCATAACTGGAAGCCTGTATCTCCTACTCCCCCTCACCCATTTTTCCCATTCCCCCCTCCTCGGGCAACCATTACTTTGTTCTCTGTGTTTACAGGTCTGATTTTGCTTTTGTTTCTCTTTATTTGTTTTTGTTTTTGTTTTAAAGATTCCATGTATAAGTGAGATCATACGGTGCTTATCTTTCTCAGTCTGACTTATTTCACTTAGCATTATACCCTCTAGGTCCATCCATGTTGTCAGGAAAGGCGTGATCTCATCCTTTTTTATGACTGTGTAATATTCTGGGGTGTGTGTGTGTGTGTGTGTGTGTGACATCTTCCTTATCCATTTTTCTATTGATGGACACTTTGGCTCCTTCCATATCATGGCGATTATAAATAATGCTGCAATAAACATAGGAGTGGATCTATCTTTTTGAATTAGGGTTTTCGTTTTCTTCAGGTAAATACCCGGTAGTAGATTTATTGGATCATATGCCATTTCTGTTTTTGAGAAAAAACCTCCATACTGGGGCTTCTGGGTGGCTCAGTGGGGTAAGCCTCTGCCTTCGGCTCGGGTCATGATCCCAGGGTCCTGGGATCGAGCCCCGAGTCGGGTTCTCTGCTCAGTGGGGGAGCCTGCTTCCCCATCTCTCTCTCTGCCTGCCTCTCTGCCTATTTGTGATCTCTCTGTCAAATAAATAAATAAAATCTTTAAAAAACAAAACAGAACAACAACAACAAAGACCCCTCCATACTGTTTTCCACAGTAACAGTACCAATTTACATTCCCACGAACAGTGTATGAGGGCTCCCTTTTCACCACATCCTCAACAACACTCGTTATTTCTTGTCATTTTGATTTTAGCTATTTTAGCCATCCTGACAGGTATAAGGTGAGGTATCTCCTTGTGGTTTTGATTTGTATTTCCCTGATGCCGAGTGATGTGGAGCATCTTTTCATGTGTCTGTTCAGCATCTTTTCATCTGTATGTCTTCTTTGGAAAACTGTCAGTTCTAGTCCTCTGCCCCTCTTAAAATCAGATTATTTGTGTGGTTTTTTTTTGGTGTTGAGAATGATAAGGTCTTTATATATTTTGGATATTATTCTATTACTGCATATGCCATTTGCAAATATCTTCTCCTGTTTACAAGGTTGCCTTTTTGTTTTGTTCATGGTTTCCTTCACTGTGCAAAAGCTTTTCATTTTGCTGTAGTCTCAATAGTTTAATTTTGCTTTTATTTTTCTCACCAGAGGAGACCTATCTAGAAAAATGCTGCTGTGGCCAATGTCAGAAATCACTGAAATCTCTTCTAGGAATTTTATTGTCTCAGATCGCACATGTAGTAGGTCTTTAATCCATATTGAGTTTATTTTTGTGTATGGTGTTAGAAAGTGGTACAGTTTCATTCTTTTACACATAGCTGTCCAGTTTCCCTGCACCATTTATTGAAGAGACTGTCTTTTCCCCATTGTATATTCTTGCCTCCTTTGTCATGGATTAATTGACCATATAAGCATGGGCTTATTTTGGGATATCTGTTCTCTTCCATTTATCTATTCATCTGTTCTTTTTTTTTTTTTTTTGAAGATTTTATTTATTTAAGAGAGCAAGAGAGAGAACAGAAGCAGGGGAGAGGGAGACCCAGGCTCTCTGCTTGACAGGGAGCCTGATGAGGGACTCAATCCCGGGACCCTGGGATCATGACCTGAGCTGAAGGCAGACACTTAATGGGCTCAGCCACCCAGACATCCCAAGATTTCATTCCTTTTGGTGGCTGAGTATTATTCCATTGTGTATTGTGTTCCCCTTTCTCCATATCCTCAACAACCTGTTGTTTCCTGTGTTGTTAATTTTATCCATTCTGACTGGTGTGAGGTGATACCTCATTGTGGTTTTGATTTGTATTTCCCTGATGCTGACCGATGTTGAGCATTTTTTCATGTGTGTGTTAGCCATCTGTATGTCTTTGGAAAAATGTATATTCATGTATTCTGTGTCTTTAGCGTTTTCTATATACAGTACCCCATCATCTACAAATAGAAATAGTACAAATTAACTTCTTCTTTACCAATATGGATGCCTCTAACTTCTTTTTCTTATCTGATTGCTGTGGCAAGGACTTCCAGTACTAAGTTGAATACACGTGGCAAGTGTAGACATCCTTGTCTTTCTGATCTAAGAGGAAAATCAATCATTTTCACCATCGAGTAAGATGTTTGTTGTGGGTTTTCCAAATA